GCAGGTCAATTTGTTGGCTGAGGTTGCAGTAAAAGGTTGCTGTCTCCATAAAAACATCCCCTCACTTTTATCTCCATTTTAGATTTTTCTTTTCTTATTTGTAGCACATTTCCGTTTCAGTTACATTTCATCCCCATCCCATTTTCCTTTTTTAAGTACAAAGGTAGGGTTCCTCTACAAACCATTCGAGCGAAACGTGTCTTCCCTTTGTTAATTCCTTTCTTAAAGGCTTGAACTTAATCAGTCCTTTGCCCAAAAAGCCAAAAAGGTGTATTTTTTTATCTGGGTATTTCATATTCTGATTCTTTAAGGAGTATCTGGAATTGGGTTTTGCAGATTTTGGTTCCTAGAGATAAATTTGGAATCGGGTACTTTTTATTGGATATAATTCTATGAGGTAGTGGAGATTCTGGAGATTGCAGATGTTTATTCTATGGGAATTTGGCTGTGAAGGATAGGAATCTTTATTTATTTGTTTTTTTCTTCTGTGAGAGGAGTTTGTAATTCTTTGTTGTATAATTGTGTGTGTTCGTTGGGTTTTTTCTTGAAAATCACGAGATCATATACTAAGCCATAAAACAGTCACATCCTGATTATTTTTTATTAGTAGTTTCAGAGAAAGTTTTTGGTTGTTTTTAGTTCTTCTTTGTGATTTGTCTAAATTGAAAAGAAGTGTCAACAGGAATCCTTCTCTCGATCCATTTAAGGAAGTGAGATATTGACCGTTACAACTTCTCTCAGATGTAAGTGGAAGGGCTTTATTGTTGGTTGTTATTGGTTTGGTAGATGTTGAGTAGATATTCCGCAAAAATAAGTATTGTTCTTCTCTTTTTTCTTACCTTATCTATTTTGCAAGTATTGGATGATTTAAGGATTAGGACTTAGCCGTGCTTTTGTCATGCTCCATTTTTGAAGTTAAGGGACATTTTAGGCCTTGAAAACAAACTTGTTTTCAGAAAGCTGTTTTTGGTCATCAATGAGATTTCTAAGCCTTGTGGGAAACTCTTTTGGATGTTCTGCATCTGGGGAACGCTTAGTTTCTGCAGCAAGAGATGGTGATCTTCAAGAAGCCAAGGCTTTATTGGAATACAATCCAAGGCTTGCAAGGTATTCTACTTTTGGAGTTCGCAATTCGCCTCTCCATTACTCTGCTGCTCAGGGACACCATGAGGTATTCAATAGCTTAAATTCAAGCCAACAGACATTTCTTGCAAATTAATCATAATGGTGATTGATTTTTGTGTTGTGTATTTGTATCAGCTAGTCTCACTCTTGCTTGAGTCTGGAGTTGATATTAATCTCAGGAACTATCGGGGTCAGGTAATTCAATTTTGTTTTCTTACTTAAATTTGTATTTTTTCTTGTCCACTATTTGATTACTGATTTCAGTTTCTTTATAACTTAAACACCTAAAGTTGCAGACTAGTTATTTTTCATCTGACTTTTGGGTTTGTTGCAGACTTATTTTAATTTAGGTTTTATGGGTTACTATTGTTTATTCTAAGTCGTTTTTGTTTTAACTGTGATGAACAGACTGCTCTGATGCAAGCTTGTCAATATGGCCACTGGGAGGTTGTTCAGACTCTGATTCTTTTTGGAGCCAATGTAAGACATCTACTTGCAAGTTTGGTGTCCTTTATTGCAACAGATTTATATCGTTTACAAACTTGAGTGGAATAGGATTATTTATAAGTTAAGTCGTGCTGAAATGGTTTTCAGATTCACAGAGCAGATTATCTTAACGGGGGTACTGCACTCCACCTGGCTGCCTTGAATGGTCATTCCCGGTGCATAAGGCTCCTCCTTGCAGATTATATTCCTAGCATCCCCAGTTGTTGGAATAAATTAAGGAAGAGATCAAAAAATAAAGAATCTATTGCAGAACTTGATGAGAGGTAAATTTACATCAATCCTTTTTATTTTTTTTGCTATCTACTCTTCTGTTTTGATTCATTCTTGTTTCATCGTGATCTTCCAGTGCTCTCCGTGAGGTCATCGGTAGACCTGCTGATGGAGGCGTCACTGCTCTTCATATGGCAGCATTGAATGGACATGTTGAAACTGTTCAGTTGCTCCTGGATTTGGGGGCTTCTGTTACTGAGGTAACCATGGAAGATGGGACAACAATTGATCTAATAGGTAACTCACATGTTCTATTTACCAATTTAACTAATGGTCCTTGCTTGTTTCACAGTCTGATGATTTTGCTGCTAATTGCAATTGAGCATGAACAGCAAAAACATTTTTAACTGGCAGTTTAAATCCACATTTTTCTTTTATCCTTGTTTATGAGTTCCCCTTCTCTTCTCCTTGTTAGTTTTCTGTGTTCAATAATTAACATTTCAGTTGCTCTTCTTTTTCATTTTGCCCTTCCTGTTTTCTGAGCTGCCATGCCATGCCAAAATTATAATATCTGGGCGGATTTCCTTTCTATTGGTACACTTCTTCTGCCTATCTGCCAAGCAATTGTACGTAAATACTGTCAGCAGTTGATTTTACGTCCCTAAACTCCCTTCCCCTACCCCCATCCTTTTAGATGGTCACACAGAGCATTATGATTTATTGGTACATAATTATGATATCTTTATTATTTGAGTAGTAAGTCTTCCACCCTGCATTCTTAGTTTCTCCTTTTGTGTTTTTGGACTTTGACCTTGTTACCTTGCAGGTGCAGGGAGCACTGCTCTTCACTATGCTGCTTGTGGTGGAAATGAACAATGTTGTCAGGTATGTTTTTAGTCTCTGCAGCATCATAGCCACGCAAAACAAGGGGGAAAAGGAACAAGAAAAAACTCAATCATGTATCCATACCATTCATGCTGAAGATTTCAATTTCTAATTTTGATGTATGGTGCTTCAGATTTTGATTGCCAGGGGTGCTAGTGTTACTGCTACAAATGCAAACGGGTATGTTCTGTGACTTATCATGTTTAAATGTTATGATTCATTTGGTACTTTTATTTTGTGTTACTTTTACTAATGATTTTTTCATTTAATAAAATGGTTAAGTTACATTTTGAAGCTAAAAGTTTGAATTTTAGCTTCTGCTAAAAGGCTTAGGTAACTAGCAATATGTTTCTGCTTCTTAAAAGTTAGAATAAAACTTATGCAAAAATTATGCCTTGATAAGAGTAGCTAGTATAAGATGCAAAGCCTTTCAAGCACAAGCTGTTATTGATTTGCCTTCTTGATTGGAATTTTTGAGCATGTAATGAAATCAACTCCAATTTTGAACAGTCTTTAAAAGATAGACTGAAGGTTTTACCTAGTTTAATTAATTTTCTTCCTGCCCTCTCTGCCCCTCTCATCCCTCCTTGAGAAATTTCTTTCATATTTCCATCTTTATAGTTTCTCTTTCTGACCTGTGGACCAATTTTATGCATTTAAGGGTTAAAAAGATATTAGGATTAGCAGAAGCAAGACTAAGACAGTATGTCAGAAAAATGCTAATCAGCAGACTAAAAAAATTTACCCAAGCCTAGTGAAACTTGCCATGTGGTGGAGTTTTGCTCCATGGTTTGCAACTAAAGCGGCTATATTGACAAAGGATGCATTTTGATTAAGGAGGCAGAGGGTCTATGTTTCATCATGTGTGATTACGCTTGTTAAACATATTTTATTGTTAAAATTACTCCTGATAGTGTACATTTTTTGTCTGTGGTCACCATTTTTCATGTTTTAGGGTAATGCTACACTGCCATTTAAAAAGGAAGGTATGATGATGTACGTAATCTGAACTAGTATAAGATTTACTTTTGTAACCTTTAACAGTTCACACTGTCATCTTGTGGCTACACCATATCACCTATGGCATGGTAGGAATTTTTCAAATATTTTGAGGAAAATGGCAGTTCAGTGGCAACTTTGGGTAATAAAAAGCACAAATCCTAATGTACAATTAACCTTTGGAACATAATTAGTGTGATGCCTGGATGTCACATTATTGTTTGCTGCCTCATGAAAGTCATTGGGATATCCTTTCGTTTTATATGTTGTTGTTACTTTCTGAACCCTGTCTTGATAATGTTTAAATTTGACTTATTATTGTTTTTAATTATCACTTAAAGGTGGACTCCTTTAATGGTCGCCCGTTCCTGGCGTAAAAATTGGCTTGACGAAATTCTTAGCACTCAGCCTGAAAGCCAGTCACAAATTCTTCCCTCTCCCTTTCTATCTCTTCCCCTTATGAGCATTGTTAAAATTGCTAGGTGAGTGACAGCTGCACCATCTGTTCTTAATTTACATTGTTGTATCAATCTCTAAGCCATGACATTTTGTATAACCTTATAGAAACTATTTGATTTTGCATGTGATGGTTGATCTATGAACTTCTATCATCTTTGGAAAACTGCATGTTTGTTGATTTTCTAGCTCATTCGGTAGGAGTGCTCATACTTAGTCAGAAATAGAGACCAAGGTATTTGCTATCCAGCAATCATTCAAATTACACAGTCACCAATTGGTGTACGTTCTTGGCTTCCATTATTTCTGGTAGGCAGGAGTTTTACTTCTATGGAAACTGTCAGTGTTCTAGACTGAACTGGCAGGAGTCTGCTTCTGGACGTTATGTTAAGTGTTAACACCATGATGTTTCTTTGGGAGAGATAAATGTAGATGGATTATAATAGTGAGGTGGAAGGGAGGTACAGGATGATGCTTGGTTATGAACGCATGATAAGTGTTAGGGAAACAAACTTAAGCCAGATGCACTAGGAATCTATAGTTTAAATCAGACCTGCTCAACCAAGTGCATTAACATTCTCAAATTATGTAACCACTAACTCATTTCTGGGGAATATCTTCTGCCAGTACTGGAATTTTCTGTGTGATTCAGGTCAGCCAATAGGGTTTTTAAGATTAGATTCTATAGGGTTCATGCATTTGCTAAACCGGCTTGACATTATCTAGAAGACTTTATGCTTCTGCTCTGAAGATTTTAAGTCATTGACTGTAAAACCAGCTCTGAGATTATCTACTAGGCTGCAACAATTTCCAATTCCTCTTACTTACTGAATCAACTTCTTCCATGAAACTTTAGAACAAAATGATGCTGATTGTCTATTTGAACCTAATGTAAAGATGTGTTTCCTTCACTTGATTTATTTACTCCCTGCCAGTTCCCCTTTCCCTTTCGATTTTCAAGCCATCTAGGACCCAACGTGATCAACAAACATACAAGATTAGGAGAAAGGCTTCAGCATCTGTCTTCCCAAAGTTAGCTGACAATAATCCATCATTCCACAGTGATTGGCTAGTTTCATTTTGCTTTATTGTCTAGTGAGTTACAAAAGAAAGACAAAGAGGAAGAAAAGAAACGATTGTCAAGTTTCATTGTGGTCTATTTTCTAGTCTACTTCTATTTAGTATTATGCAATATTAAATTATTGTTTCATTTGCAAGAATGTCAAGTTTGAGTTCAAAACTTTGTGCTACAATTCAGAGGATTTAAAGTGTTATATGTATTTGAATCTTTTTTACACAGAAAGGAGTGAATAGATAACTTCTAAACTTTGCAGTATCAATTTTTTTTTTGTTTTATCTCAAAGAACTATTTAATTCCTTAATCAGGAGAGAAGCTAGATTGAGGTTGTTGTCTTCTTTAGATCCTGCATTAGTCGGATTTAGGTTTGCATCAAGTTTTTAGTTACTTTTTTTTTCTCGTTTGTTGTACATATTTTACTTTTAATTTAAAATAACTTTGTTATGGATCACTTAGTGGCATGTCATTAAAAGATTTCTTTTCGATGGTGCCATACCCTCATAGTGACATGGCATTTTCTAGTCCATCTTGCATATTTCTTTTCAGATAGTCTACATATGGCATCGTTTGATTGTTTAAAGCCACATAATCATTTTAAAAAATGAGTTAAATTACCAAAATAAAAATAACTCTATAGTTAAAGATGGATTAAATTTACTCAGTGAGATTTGAAAATCAACACTTAACCGTCCTGATGATTGCTTTATTATCTTATATGTTAACACCACTCTCGTTTTCTTCTTTTTGCCATTACCTTTTTTTTCTTATTTTTCAATGGCCTTTTTTCATCTTTTTCTATATATCTTTTTTACTTTCTTGTTTTTCTCATTATCCGATTTCCAGAGTGCATCATCTCTCTCTAAACGACCGCAACTTTTTCTCACATAGTTTTGTTCATCCATTCTTCCTTATTCTGGCTTCTTGGTTTCCTTTCTTTGTGTCTCACTCTTCAAAACCCAAAAACATGGAAAGTAGAATGGCATCCACTTGAAGAAAAAACCAATTGGTCATCCATCATCTCCATAAACTGTTTACTGCACTACCAACAAATCTGAAATTCAGCAAACACCATTACCTTTACAAGTTGTAAACTCACAAGCCAACAATCATACCCACACCAAAACACTTTTATGAAACAACCAAATATTTCTCAAAACATGGAATTGCATGAAATTGATTAGAGGTTTTAGGAGCAACTTTTGAAATTGAAGAAATGAAGTTCTGGAGTGAGAAAGGCTTGGTTAAGGGATGAAGAAAGAACAAAAAGAAAAAAGAAGAAAAGAAAGGAAGAAAGGAGGATGAATGGGGGAGGGTACAGCTGAAACCTGTAGGAGTCAAGCTTTGCTGAAATCAATCCTAAGCCATCAAAGGATTTTTAATTTTTCCTTTTTTTGTCGAAAGCCTTGAAAGATCAAGGAGAGATAAATCCTATCAATTGAGAGGGAGAAAGAGTTTAGAACTTTCTGGTAATGAGGAAAACAGAAGGGAAAAGAAAGAGAAAAAGTAGGCCGTTTGGCACAACATAAAATAGGTATCTAACAACTAAATCATAGAGTGGTTAAGGGTAATTTTTTAAACTCCAAGAGACTAATTTTATCGATATCAAACCGCAAGGTGGGATTTTGTAATTTACCCTTAACAAAAGCCACATAATTACTCCTAACTTATGGTGTCAGTCAAATGAGCACATTGAACACAAGGAAAGATAGGCCATTTATCAAGTTGAATAAATCAAAAGACTTTGTGTTGAGGTCCAAAATTAAACATCAGGTCCTAGTTCAAGGGCCATTTCTGTAGTTATCCCTTCCTAGCTTATATATATTGCTATATGTTAATAACATGTCTGAGTTGTACCCCACTGCACAAATTTATATGTTCACATTATGCAGCCTGTTTTTGATTGTGCCTAGCTATGCTTTTGAATTCTTGGAAAAGAACAAGAATTTTTCGTATGGAGCTGATGCACAAAAGCATTGAAATAAATAACTTAATATTGCTGCGCCTTGCAATTAATAAGAGAATAAAACAGCATTGGATAAAGACATAAAGACATAATAATGTATTTATCCTTGTTCTTTTCAAATTTTTGTTGTAATAATTGCATATACATTGATAGAATGATAAGCACAGGCTAACTGACATGTGTATGGACATGCATTTTTAAGTGTATGCAGGCGATGAGCATGTATTTATGAGTACATGGCTACTAGATGTCACCATCAATTTTTCTGTTTAAAAACTTAGTTACATATCAGATGAACAAACCTTTTCTCCCTTCTTTGTGTTATGAAGAGAATGTGGATGGAGGACTGGTGATTCCTTACCCTCATGCCAAGATCCATGTGCTGTATGTCTGGAGAGGAAGTGCACAGTAGCTGCAGAAGGTAATTTTAATTTATCTTTAAATGTAAAAAAATTGCTAGAATATATTTATTTCTAAGTGGCTAGGATCAGTGTAGCCTATGGGATATATGCATTGATATGGATATTATTGGTAAGGATTATGTTATGGTAACTATGATTATTTTTGTATTGCTGTATCAGACTATTGTTTTATTTATCATCCATATTGCACCCAGGGTGATGAAGAGATAGAATCTTTCACTAAAGTTTTAATATTAGAATAACATATTATTACTCATATGATATTCATTCATGAGTCTCACGGACACATACATTTGGCATAAGGTAGACTCATTCTTGTTAATAGTGAGGTTGAGATGAAATAAGTGACAATTTTAGCAGTGTCCTGCTTTAATGTTGCAATTGTGATGGTATGGATTTGAAGTAGGTTTCAGCCACATAGGTTTAGTGAAGTGGTGTTAGTTTTGTTTTTGAGAAGTAGCAGTGGCAGTTATGGTACTGATACTAACAAACATGTTGGTGGAACTGAGGAAGAGAGATGGAATGGGACAAAGACATATTTATGCAATAAGGCAATTTTTGTATTGTTTATATTTGATATTAAGATTTATGATTTTCTTTTGTGAACATTCTTGACCAGTTATTCTGAATTAGTGACACATAGCATGAATCTTGTCAGTTTTGAGCCATGTGTAAATTGGGTCGTAACTGTTAATAATACTAGGCAATCCCTTCTTTATTTTTCATGTGGATTTTGATCCATATATGCATACTTTATGAAAGTCAAATTCATTTCTTTGTTATATCAACACCCTCAATTTTTCATGATGTAGTGTGGGAACTTTTGTTTGCCATTGATGTTAATGGTATGCGGGGGACCAAATGTAGATGAAATCAGGATTGTAATTATATTTTCCATGATGCAGGTTGTGATCATGAGTTCTGTACACAATGTGCCTTATACCTCTGTTCTACAAATAATACCTCAAATGTTGCTCAAGGTCCAATTGGCTCGATTGCCTGTCCTCTTTGCCGGCATGGGATAGTATCATTTGTCAAGCTCCCAGGAACAAAACCAACAATTAAGGCAGTTGCCAGAACAAGCTTATCCCTTTCTTTCTGCACATGTTCTAGTGAGATACCAGAGTCAACTTCAATGACAACCCCGCTTTGCAAGCCTGAGGTCCATTGCACACGAATTTCTCCCCTTGGATCTTCGTTTCGCAACCTAAGCTGCCAGAGTTTCCGATCAATGAAAATTCACTCTAGCCTTTGCATGGGAGCTCCAAATACTAGTCCTTCTTTAGTTCCCTGCCCTGCTGACCGGAATTTGCAAAACCACTTGGTTAGGTGCTCAAGGTCGGGCTTAAGGCGGTCAGCTTCTGAGGCCCGAAGGTCATGGTTCACAGCGCTTAATCTGTGTGTAACTACATGCAGTGGATGCTGATATTTTTGTCATCTTTTTTTTTTTCCCATTCTTTTTCTATCCCGTGTCATAGGTGTTTTTCCTTTAATTTTGCCCTAATTGTAATTGAAATTTCTTGTTGATAATGATTGCTGGTTGTGTAAATGGCAAAGATGTGTTTTACCAGTTACTGTAAAACGAATCCACGGGATTAAGCTTTTGCATCCCCATGTTTTTGTTCCAATGGTTCATGTCTATATACAGAAGCTGAACTGTTTATCAGATAAATTCTCTAGTGCGCTCAACATGAGTTATGATCTCTTATTCTCTTTGATTTCCTGATTGCCAAGAAAGATGAAAAGAAGAGGACAGAACTCTTAACTCAATTTCAGAAGTGAAGAATTAAGCAGGAGTGCAGAGCAACACTGCTGAAAAGTTATGGTTGTTTTCAAGGGTAACTGTTTAATAGTCAAGACTTTGAGGCAGCATTTATCCAGTTCGCAGGGAGGAGGATTAAAGAAGAGTCATCTGTACCGTCCAACGTTTCTGTTTGTTTGATGCTTTTATGAACAAAGGACTCCCCGCAGGCAGCTTGTCACGTTTATTACTGTTTTTACAAAGTTTGTGTACTAGGGTTATGCTTTTTAATCCTAAATTTTACACTTTTGAGTTGTTCCAAACTTCAGCAAAATCAGGACCATTAATTATTCCTTCGACTACGTTTAAATTACTTTGGTATAGCTTATAGCTTTTCAGAATTGGGTACCAAAATTCGTAGATGTCATTAAAATATAACCATCTAAAGGATTAACTGTCTAATTTTGATCATATTGGAGTTTTTTATACAGTGTCACAACTGCGAATTCTTCCGCACCATATTTAATTATTGCTTGAATTTTTAATTTACTGGTTAGGGATGTTAATGGGTAAGGTATCCATCAATTTTGAGGTATTCGAACTCGAATTTGATTAGCAAATGAAATATCCGAACCCTATAATTATCTAAATATTTTTAAATTTATTATCTTAACCCGAATCTTAATATATATCTACTACTTAATAATTATCCAAACACGTTAAAAAATCTGATTAGTAAACAAATTATTAAAATGATTTTCATGGGTATCTAATTACCCAAACCCGAATCCGTACTGCATTTATATATAATAATATTTTCATCTACATTCTATATAATTTATTAATAATTAAATTTATAAAAACACAAAAAATAAAATTTAAATTTAAATAATCAAAAACAAATATCTTAAATATCAACTTAAACAACTAAAAACAAATATCCAAATAACAATTTAAACAACATTATAGGTATAATTAACTATATGAGTTTGCTATTAATAACATGAAATAAAAAAAAATTAGCTAGGTTCTAAAACTAGTCTAATCTCACAACTTCTTTTTAAATATATATATATATATATATTTTATAAGTTTATATAAATAAACGTATATGTATTATAATTAATAATTTTACAAGTTAAAATTTTGGTAACGCTAATACAAAATAGAAAGTAAATATGTTTATATATTTAAAAAATATATATTAAACATATATATAATAGTAATTATATTCTTTATAAATTAACACAATATATATAATATATGTATTAAAAGATATTACAACTTAATTAATAATCATAATTTCATAAATTAATTTAATTAATAATATAAATTTATCTTTAATTACATAAAATTAAAATATATATATCATCGGGTTCAAGTATTGGTTACCCAAAGGGTGATTCCCTAACCCTACATGAACTTGATACTGGTAGTGAAATTACTATCCGAACCCGATTATAAAATACCTTTAGTCTCTAATTTTATATAATCGAGTCGAGTACTCGTAGGTATCTTGTGACAGAGTACCCATTGCTATCCTCTATTACTGGTATTTAAAAAAATTTTATGAATTTATTGGAATTTAGGAAATAATAAACTTTGTAGTATAGTATTCTTTTTAAGGGATAAAATATAATTTAGCCAGTGAAATTTTACGAAATGCACTTAAATTTCTGAATTTTTATTTAGTTCAATTAAATCATATTAGAACTTCTTTATTTCATCTAATTATATGGTTAAATTTTGCTGATTGATTTCATAAAAAAATGTAGTAATTGTTTCAATTAAGTCAATTAGGCGTTAAATGCAATAAAGTTGACTATAATTAGTCAATTATTGAATCAATTATCATAATTTAAAAACATAACAATTAAGTTAATTGGTCAAACAAAATTTCTTAGGAAACCAAGGAAAGATACCACTCAACCACCAATTACCAATTTCATTAATCAATAAAGAATACGGCCAATTGCACTTTGTCAAGGTTAGCCTTAGAGATTAAAACTTGCTTTTGGAGTTCATTAATAAATGATTCGTATTTGAAGAGTGAGCACAAATAAGTACACTTCCATATTAATTACATTCTAATCTTTGCTTCCTATGTTTTTTTGGGTCGCATGATTTGTAAATTCACTGCATAATTATAGCAAATCATAAATGGATTATATATTTTGGTTGTTAAATATAATTAGAGAGGGATGACTAAATTCTAAAAATTCACTGCATGATCCATTGCATGTTGTGGCAAAAGTGAAAACAAGAAAAGCAATAAGAATAAAAATAATAAAACAAACAAATTTTCATATAATTCATCATATTATTTATTTACATTAATGAAAAGGATGAGATAGAAAAGAAAATCCTGTATCTTCTTAAAATGTCTCAACTTTCTACTCTTTTTCAAATGGCATAATACTTTAAAATATTCTTAAACTATTTAAAAAATTTCAAATAAGTTTTTGCTTTTTGTTGTATTCAATCAAGTCCATATACTTTTATTTTAAATTAATTAGATCTTTATAATTTTATTTTGAGTCAAATTAGTCTTTATGATTAATAGTTGGCTGAGTCAAAATATCACTTATAATTCTATACCACGTAATGCTAACATAGTATGTTGAAATGTCATAATTGATAATGATGTGACATACTGATATATCATAACTGATAATTATGTAACATACTGATGTGGTATGATAACATGACTATATAACATTTTTCACCCTCAACATTAATGTCACGCCAATGCCATGTGGACATAAAATAACAAATGACATTTTGATTAATATTAATTAAACATTAGTCATAAAAGGTTATTTGAATCCAAAATAAAAGTATAATGACTTGATTGAACATAATAAAAGAATAAACAACTTATTTGAATTTTTTTGAAAAATTTAAGGGTTTTTTTTAGCATTAAGCCTTTTCAAATATTCACATCATAGTAAAGTAAAAATACGAACTTTGATTGGTTCATATGCGACTCCATCCCTACATATTTGAACTTCTTAATCGTATAAATATTAAAGGTCAAATTCATTAATATTTATTCAGTTTGTACTGAGAAAACATATTAAATTTAAATATAATAGTAATTGGATTTTTTTCAATTTAAATTTAATTTAAATAATAAAAAATTCTTAAATTATGTTCATTTATATAATTAAGTTTTTATTTTTATTACATCCAAACAAGCTTTTATTTTTTTATTTATATCCACACAATTTTTTTGAAAGATAATTTTCTTTATTGATAAAAGGCAAAAGTTAGTCATAGCTATATGGCTTATTGATTACAAATAGAATAAAAGAAAAGTAACCCCATAGCAACAATATTTTCTAGACTTTAGGGATGCCTAGATAGTTTTGAAGAAATTTAAAAAAGAAAGGGAGAAAAAGAGAGTTTAAAATAGACAATACGTAGAGGAGGAAGAGAACAAATATATGGATTTCTATTTTTTTTTCTTGAGACCTTCTTTGGTTGTCTTTTCTTTAAATAGGTTACAAACTATATTATACAAGAAACTTTGCCAATAGTGGAGAGAAATTATATAACCAATGATGTGTTGAATGTTGTATCAATCTTCCTGAATTGGTGCAACGTCTCTTTACAAAAATATTGCAACACATGCTATTATTTTTGTTGTTGATCTATTATCATATCTACTGTTGATTTGCTACTGGTTTGTGAGAAATTTGGTATTGGTTTGTGAGTGATTTGCTACTAGTTTGTGGGAGATCTGATGATAATGTTCTACCCCCCTTCAAACTTAACATGGAAGGAAACCATAGTCCAAGTTTTCCGTGAAATGCTTCAAAAGTGCTCCGAGGTAATGCCTTAGTGAGAATGTTTGCTACTTGTAGCTTTGAAGGAATAAACTTGGTTTCGAGAAATCCTAAAGCCATCTTTTCACAAACAAAGTGATGGTCAATCTTTATGTGTTTCATTCTAGCATGAAACATGCGATTAATAGTGAGATATAGGGTAAATAAGTTGTCATAGAAGAGTAAGGCTAGGTGGGCCATATAGAGACCAACATCACATAATAGGAAGGATAGTCAGAAGAGTTCTACTATCGTTGAGGATAAAGCTTGATATTCAGCTTTAACACTAGATTGAGCCATAGTAGATTACTACTTAGAACTTCAGGAAATGCAATTACCATCAAGAAATGTGTAGAAATTTGAGAAGTATTACCAATAGTTAATAGTTCAAATTCTTTGAATAATACCTTTGGAGTTGTCACCTAAAGAAACACTACCACTTTTCTTCCTATCAAGCTAAGCAAATAATTTTTTATCCCTGATCATGTGCCTTGAGTAACCACTGTCTAAATACCAAGGCTACCTTCCCCTTGGTTAAGCTTTCAAAAATTGTTCCTTGTGCTCTTACTCAACTTACAAAACAAATTTTTAGTTCTTCTTTAAGCGCAACCATACTTTAATGGGTCCTTAGAGATTAGTGGGCACATGCGAACCTTTGGGCACCTAAACCAATTTGGTTTTAGAGAGGTTATTTCCCTTATGATAGCAATCATAGGAAATATGAAATGACCTTTTTTGCCACATACATAACAGTAACATAAAGATGCATCATTTTTCTTTTTAAAAATTGCATTTCTTTTTGGACTTTCATTTTTGAGCTCTTTTTCCTTAAAGCTTTGAGAGCAACATTTTCATCCAATGTCTTTTTCAAAGCTTCATTTTTGTTCTCTAGTTCTAACTTCCAAGATTTTCTTGAAAAGCTTGTAAAGATGAGTTCTCTCAAGAATCTCCCTAAATGAGGAAAAACTTCTAGACTTCACCAAAGTATTATGATGGTCTATAAACTATTTTTTCGATATAAGGTTTTTATTTCCCATTATTTACAAAAATAAAAGTCATATCATTATTTCATGATTGCATCAAGCGCGTTAATAATGTATTTGG